GAGCGTCCTACTATTCCAACTGAGCGTCCTACTATTCCAACTGAGCGTCCTACTATTCCAACTGAGCGTCCTACTATTCCAACTGAGCGTCCTACTATTCCAACTGAGCGTCCTACTATTCCAACTGAGCGTCCTACTATTCCAACTGAGCGTCCTACTATTCCAACTGAGCGTCCTACTATTCCAACTGAGCGTCCTACTATTCCAACTGAGCGTCCTACTATTCCAACTGAGCGTCCTACTATTCCAACTGAGCGTCCTACTATTCCAACTGAGCGTCCTACTATTCCAACTGAGCGTCCTACTATTCCAACTGAGCGTCCTACTATTCCAACTGAGCGTCCTACTATTCCAACTGAGCGTCCTACTATTCCAACTGAGCGTCCTACTATTCCAACTGAGCGTCCTACTATTCCAACTGAGCGTCCTACTATTCCAACTGAGCGTCCTACTATTCCAACTGAGCGTCCTACTATTCCAACTGAGCGTCCTACTATTCCAACTGAGCGTCCTACTATTCCAACTGAGCGTCCTACTATTCCAACTGAGCGTCCTACTATTCCAACTGAGCGTCCTACTATTCCAACTGAGCGTCCTACTATTCCAACTGAGCGTCCTACTATTCCAACTGAGCGTCCTACTATTCCAACTGAGCGTCCTACTATTCCAACTGAGCGTCCTACTATTCCAACTGAGCGTCCTACTATTCCAACTGAGCGTCCTACTATTCCAACTGAGCGTCCTACTATTCCAACTGAGGCGTCCTACTATTCCAACATGAGCGTCCTACTATTCCAACTGAGCGTCCTACTATTCCAACTGAGCGTCCTACTATTCCAACTGAGCGTCCTACTATTCCAACTGAGCGTCCTACTATTCCAACTGAGCGTCCTACTATTCCAACTGAGCGTCCTACTATTCCAACTGAGCGTCCTACTATTCCAACTGAGCGTCCTACTATTCCAACTGAGCGTCCTACTATTCCAACTGAGCGTCCTACTATTCCAACTGAGCGTCCTACTATTCCAACTGAGCGTCCTACTATTCCAACTGAGCGTCCTACTATTCCAACTGAGCGTCCTACTATTCCAACTGAGCGTCCTACTATTCCAACTGAGCGTCCTACTATTCCAACTGAGCGTCCTACTATTCCAACTGAGCGTCCTACTATTCCAACTGAGCGTCCTACTATTCCAACTGAGCGTCCTACTATTCCAACTGAGCGTCCTACTATTCAACTGAGCGTCCTACTATTCCAACTGAGCGTCCTACTATTCCAACTGAGCGTCCTACTATTCCAACTGAGCGTCCTACTATTCCAACTGAGCGTCCTACTATTCCAACTGAGCGTCCTACTATTCCAACTGAGCGTCCTACTATTCCAACTGAGCGTCCTACTATTCCAACTGAGCGTCCTACTATTCCAACTGAGCGTCCTACTATTCCAACTGAGCGTCCTACTATTCCAACTGAGCGTCCTACTATTCCAACTGAGCGTCCTACTATTCCAACTGAGCGTCCTACTATTCCAACTGAGCGTCCTACTATTCCAACTGAGCGTCCTACTATTCCAACTGAGCGTCCTACTATTCCAACTGAGCGTCCTACTATTCCAACTGAGCGTCCTACTATTCCAACTGAGCGTCCTACTATTCCAACTGAGCGTCCTACTATTCCAACTGAGCGTCCTACTATTCCAACTGAGCGTCCTACTATTCCAACTGAGCGTCCTACTATTCCAACTGAGCGTCCTACTATTCCAACTGAGCGTCCTACTATTCCAACTGAGCGTCCTACTATTCCAACTGAGCGTCCTACTATTCCAACTGAGCGTCCTACTATTCCAACTGAGCGTCCTACTATTCCAACTGAGCGTCCTACTATTCCAACTGAGCGTCCTACTATTCCAACTGAGCGTCCTACTATTCCAACAGAGCGTCCTACTATTCCAACTGAGCGTCCTACTATTCCAACTGAGCGTCCTACTATTCCAACTAGAGCGTCCTACTATTCCAACTGAGCGTCCTACTATTCCAACTGAGCGTCCTACTATTCCAACTGAGCGTCCTACTATTCCAACTGAGCGTCCTACTATTCCAACTGAGCGTCCTACTATTCCAACTGAGCGTCCTACTATTCCAACTGAGCGTCCTACTATTCCAACTGAGCGTCCTACTATTCCAACTGAGCGTCCTACTATTCCAACTGAGCGTCCTACTATTCCAACTGAGCGTCCTACTATTCCAACTGAGCGTCCTACTATTCCAACTGAGCGTCCTACTATTCCAACTGAGCGTCCTACTATTCCAACTGAGCGTCCTACTATTCCAACTGAGCGTCCTACTATTCCAACAGAGCGTCCTACTATTCCAACAGAGCGTCCTACTATTCCAACTGAGCGTCCTACTATTCCAACTGAGCGTCCTACTATTCCAACTGAGCGTCCTACTATTCCAACTGAGCGTCCTACTATTCCAACTGAGCGTCCTACTATTCCAACTGAGCGTCCTACTATTCCAACAGAGCGTCCTACTATTCCAACTGAGCGTCCTACTATTCCAACTGAGCGTCCTACTATTCCAACTGAGCGTCCTACTATTCCAACTGAGCGTCCTACTATTCCAACTGAGCGTCCTACTATTCCAACTGAGCGTCCTACTATTCCAACTGAGCGTCCTACTATTCCAACTGAGCGTCCTACTATTCCAACAGAGCGTCCTACTATTCCAACTGAGCGTCCTACTATTCCAACTGAGCGTCCTACTATTCCAACTGAGCGTCCTACTATTCCAACTGAGCGTCCTACTATTCCAACTGAGCGTCCTACTATTCCAACTGAGCGTCCTACTATTCCAACAGAGCGTCCTACTATTCCAACAGAGCGTCCTACTATTCCAACAGAGCGTCCTACTATTCCAACTGAGCGTCCTACTATTCCAACTGAGCGTCCTACTATTCCAACTGAGCGTCCTACTATTCCAACAGAGCGTCCTACTATTCCAACAGAGCGTCCTACTATTCCAACAGAGCGTCCTACTATTCCAACTGAGCGTCCTACTATTCCAACTGAGCGTCCTACTATTCCAACTGAGCGTCCTACTATTCCAACTGAGCGTCCTACTATTCCAACTGAGCGTCCTACTATTCCAACTGAGCGTCCTACTATTCCAACTGAGCGTCCTACTATTCCAACAGAGCGTCCTACTATTCCAACAGAGCGTCCTACTATTCCAACTGAGCGTCCTACTATTCCAACTGAGCGTCCTACTATTCCAACTGAGCGTCCTACTATTCCAACAGAGCGTCCTACTATTCCAACTGAGCGTCCTACTATTCCAACAGAGCGTCCTACTATTCCAACAGAGCGTCCTACTATTCCAACAGAGCGTCCTACTATTCCAACAGAGCGTCCTACTATTCCAACTGAGCGTCCTACTATTCCAACAGAGCGTCCTACTATTCCAACTGAGCGTCCTACTATTCCAACTGAGCGTCCTACTATTCCAACAGAGCGTCCTACTATTCCAACAGAGCGTCCTACTATTCCAACAGAGCGTCCTACTATTCCAACTGAGCGTCCTACTATTCCAACTGAGCGTCCTACTATTCCAACTGAGCGTCCTACTATTCCAACTGAGCGTCCTACTATTCCAACAGAGCGTCCTACTATTCCAACTGAGCGTCCTACTATTCCAACTGAGCGTCCTACTATTCCAACAGAGCGTCCTACTATTCCAACTGAGCGTCCTACTATTCCAACAGAGCGTCCTACTATTCCAACTGAGCGTCCTACTATTCCAACTGAGCGTCCTACTATTCCAACTGAGCGTCCTACTATTCCAACTGAGCGTCCTACTATTCCAACTGAGCGTCCTACTATTCCAACAGAGCGTCCTACTATTCCAACAGAGCGTCCTACTATTCCAACTGAGCGTCCTACTATTCCAACTGAGCGTCCTACTATTCCAACTGAGCGTCCTACTATTCCAACTGAGCGTCCTACTATTCCAAACTGAGCGTCCTACTATTCCAACTGAGCGTCCTACTATTCCAACTGAGCGTCCTACTATTCCAACATGAGCGTCCTACTATTCCAACAGAGCGTCCTACTATTCCAACTGAGCGTCCTACTATTCCAACTGAGCGTCCTACTATTCCAACTGAGCGTCCTACTATTCCAACTGAGCGTCCTACTATTCCAACTGAGCGTCCTACTATTCCAACTGAGCGTCCTACTATTCCAACTGAGCGTCCTACTATTCCAACTGAGCGTCCTACTATTCCAACTGAGCGTCCTACTATTCCAACTGAGCGTCCCTACTATTCCAACTGAGCGTCCTACTATTCCAACTGAGCGTCCTACTATTCCAACTGAGCGTCCTACTATTCCAACAGAGCGTCCTACTATTCCAACTGAGCGTCCTACTATTCCAACTGAGCGTCCTACTATTCCAACTGAGCGTCCTACTATTCCAACTGAGCGTCCTACTATTCCAACTGAGCGTCCTACTATTCCAACTGAGCGTCCTACTATTCCAACAGAGCGTCCTACTATTCCAACAGAGCGTCCTACTATTCCAACTGAGCGTCCTACTATTCCAACTGAGCGTCCTACTATTCCAACTGAGCGTCCTACTATTCCAACTGAGCGTCCTACTATTCCAACTGAGCGTCCTACTATTCCAACTGAGGTGTCCTACTATTCCAACTGAGCGTCCCACTATTCCAATTGACCATCCTTCTCTCCCACATCTCAGTTTGTCAACTTTACTCGGGTAATGGAGGCATCATGAGTCTTTGAGTCGACTCAAATCTTCTTTCCCCCTTGTCTCTCTCTCACACATGTTTTTCTCTCCTTACAACCTCAGTTTGTCAACTTCACGAGGGTTATGGCATCATCACGCGTACCGGATCAGCGCACAGCACTCTCTCAACACTCATGGCCATGCCTCTCCCCCCCTCTCCCCCCCTCTCCGCCCCTTTCCCTCCCCCCACATCAGTTTGTCAAGTTCACGAGGGTCATGGCATCATCGCGTGCACCAGAGCAGCGGGCGGCACTCTTTGCCCTCTCTGCGCTCATGGAGGTGCCTCATCAGTACCGCGCCTGCACCGAGCTGGGGCTGCTGGGGTGAGTTGTGCTGATTGGGGCTGCTGGGGTGAATTTGTTAGCGATTTATACAGCATGAAGGGCTGCTAGTGATGCTGTCAGGTCATGCTTTGCCCTCTCAGTGCTCATGGAGGTGCCTCATCAGTACCATGCCCGCACCGAGCTGGGGCTGCTGGGGTGAGTTCATTGGTGCTGCATGCTGCTTGTGCACTTGGGGTGCGTTGAGTGGGCTGGTGCTGCGGCAGGCTGGGAGCCCAAGAAGTTGCCTCGCTCTTTGTCCTCTCAACGCTCATGGAGGTCCCTCTGCAGTACCGGGTTGATCAGTGCTGCATGCTCTGTCCTGCCTGGATTCATACTCAGGTAAGTGATTGTGAGTCCGCATAACGACATGCTTTGTAAAGTAGGGTTCTCTGGGTATAGGGTTGAGGGAAGAAGTGGCGAGTCTGTTGATGTGTTGCTATTGCTGTGCTTGGAGCATTGCTAGCTCCACGAGTAAGCGAGTGAAGGGTGGAACTAAGGCGATGTTAGATTTAGGCAGGTGAATTTGGCAGGCGGACAAAAGAAGGTGGTTCCAACGAGGCTTGAACTCGTGACCTTTTGCGTGTAAATCAAACGTGATGACCACTACACCATAGAACCATGCAAAATCCTCTTATTTTCCTTCCATATCACTGATTCTCGCCTCTCCCCTTCCTCGTGTTGGTAAAATGCATCCCACTCTCTCTCCCCCACTTCTCCTCTCTTCCCCCCCTCTCCTCTCTCCCCCCTCCTTCTCCTCTCCCGCCCCCCTTCTCCTCTCCCCCCCCTTCTCTCCCCTTCACCTCCGCACTCCCTCCCCTCCAGTCGCCCCATGGGTCGCATGCCACCATCAGCCCCCAAGGAGCCCCCTCCACGCGTGCGAGCAGCAGATGCTGCAGCAGCCCAAGCTGCATCCCTCGCTGCTGCCAACATGCCCCCGCACCTCAACCCGAATAATCTCAACCCATCTGACTTCAACCCCGGCACCACTCCTAACCCCTTCGGAAACTTCATGGACGCCCCTGCTGCTTATGGCTATGGCGCTGGCAGCTCTGCCACACCCACAGGCGCTGCTGCTGCTGCTGACTCTGCGTCGGGCTCTGGTGGTGCGTCAGCAGCGGGAGGGGGGACGGAGTGCCCGGTGTGCCTCATGTACCCCAAGAACACTGCCTTCCAGTGCGGCCATCAGGTGAGGCCTGCACCAGGTGAGACCTGTACCAGGCTAGGCCTGCCCCAGGTGAGGCATGTACCAGGCTAGGCCTGCCCCAGGTGAGGCATGTACCAGGCTAGGCCTGCCCCAGGTGAGGCATGTACCAGGCTAGGCCTGCCCCAGGTGAGGGCCACACGCTCTTGAGTTCATGGGGCCGTGCAGTGTGCCTCATGTACCCCAAGAACTCTGCCTTCCAATGCGGCCACCAGGTGAGGAGTGCGCAGCAGGTGAGGAATGCGCAGCAGGTGAGGAGTGTGCAGCAGGTGAGGAGTGTGCAGCAGGTGAGGAGTGTGCAGCAGGTGACACCTACATCAGGTGAGGGCCACACATTATTGAGCTCATAGGTTCGTGCAGTGTGCCTCATGTACCCCAAGTACTCTGCCTTCCAGTGCGGCCACTAGGTGAGGACCACACACTCTTCACTGCACCAGGTAAGGCCTTCCCCAATTGAGGCTTGTGCACGCTGCTCACGACTTACAAAGCCACGTGCGTTTAGCTTGCCTCACTTGAAGCATGCTGCATACACTCCTGTCTGGTCACTCAGTGAGAATCATACACTGTACTGAAAACCATTGCCTTACACTCAAAGGGTGCAGCCATGTGTATTGCATGTTACTCCTGCCTGCACCCGCATCAGGTTTTTGCAGAGATTTGATGTGCTGCTGTGTGATGCCTTTCATGTGCAGCGTTTAAGCTCTATTTGTTACTGTACCATTCCTCCCATTGCAATGTGCACTTTCTCCTTGGCAGACCTGTGAGGAGTGTGGCAAGCAGATGAACAATTGCCCCATATGCCGTGCACCCATCACCATGCGCATCAAGCTGTACAGTTAAATAAGTGCATGCATTGTAAATGTGCACACCCAGTATTGTCTAGTATGCTTGATGAGTCATAAAACGTCATCTCCTTGTAGTGGGTACACAAGGGAGCAGATGTGTTATGTTATAAGTCAGCATTTCTACAATAAAGAATACGGTACCGCAGCATGTCAGAAGCATCATATTTTGGGCTTACAGAAATCACGTTTGCAGTGCCATGAGATTCAAGATGTAAGCAATTTCCCTCTAGTCACAGTCCTGCCTGTGCTGGACCGAATTCTGCTAGTGTCAACCTGAACAGTTGGGCGAGTAGTAAGCAAGCAATTTCCCTGTAGCCACAGTCAAGGCATATTATCTGCACTGATCTCGTATGGTATGGATCCAATAAATGTACACAGGATGTACCGGTACATGTTATGCAGCCCTACATGATAGCGAACCCTAGTCAGATGTGATTCATGTGAAAGCCTGCCACAAGCACGATGCTGCTTAGATATCCTCTGGTAACCAGGGGGGGGGGGCTCAGGTGGAAACAGGACGCTCAGGTTGAGGGAGAAGCTTATTTCTCGTGCAGCTAAATAAGAGTACATATCGATCGCCGTGTTGAGAATCCTAGCAGCCGTGTCACTTGGTGTACAGCACGTCCTCCCACGGGTGGCGGTACAGCGGCTGCTTGAGGCGCTTCTGGTCAAACGTGTGCCTGGCGGGATGGAAGATGCACGTGGGGTGGCAGATGGAAGGGCACAGCACAGGGCATGGAGCAGACAAGGATGGTTGAGTGGAGAGCCAAGGGGACACAGAGATGAGCATGCAATGCAGTGGTACAAGTAGCACTTGTGGGCTATGATGAACAACACTGGGCGTTCCAATGAGCGTGCTCATGTGAGGTGCATGGCAGGCTGCAGGTCAAGGGGAAAACAATGACTCGAGTGGCAGGTTAGAGGAGAGCTATGGTAGCTCTGCAGCGTGGCAGAAATATCATCCCACCCGATGAGCCCAATGCTCCTGGAGAGCACAAAGAGCCCGTTGATGTAGGTACCCCACAGCCACTAAGTTGTCAATCTCCTCCTTGGTGAACATGGCGCAGGACGTGAGCAGGTCCAGGAACGCCTCGATTGCCATGCCAGTCAGCCGCCCCAACAACCCACACCGTGCCTCACTCACCCGATGAGCCCGATGCTCCTGGAGAGCACGAACAGTCCATTCAGGTACCCCACAGCAACGATGTCGTCAATCTCCTCCTTCGTGAACATGGAGCAGGATGTGAGCATGTCCAGGAAGACCTCCAGACCGATCCCCTCAGAAGCTCACCGGCTTGGATATAATCTTCTTACCCGATGAGCCCGATGCTCCTGGAGAGCACGAAGAGCCCGTTCAAATACCCCACGGCCACGATGTCGTCAATCTCCTCCTTGGTGAACATGGCACAGGACGTGAGGAGGTCCAGGAAGAGCGCGCCGATGCAGCCATCCACGTTGAGCACCAGGTTGGCCGCCTTGGTGAGCGTGTATGTCTCCACCGCCACAGCGTAGTCCATGTGCTTCACCGAAGGGAAGGAGGAACGCGCGTAGGCTTGGAGCAGCTCGACACGTTTGTCCCGGTTGTCACGACTCTTGATGCTGGTAGGGATGGTGGGAGTGGGGGGAAGAATGGGGTGTGGGGAGGAGAATGGGGGGAGGAAGAACCGAGGGGAGCGAGTGACGGACGGAGAAGATGCAGCCATCCACGTTGAGCACCAGGTTGGCCGCCTTGGTCAGCGTGTACGTTTCCACCGCCACTGCATAGTCCATGTGCTTCACCGACGGGAAGGAGGCGCGCGCGTAGGCCTGCAGGAGCTCCACTCGCTTGTCGCGGTTGTCACGGCTCTTGATGCTGGTGGGGAGTGGAGGGAGTGAGAGTTTGGGGGTGTGTGCGGGGGAGGGGCGAGGCAGAGAGTGATGGAGAGGGGAAGGAGGTTAGGGAGTTGGAGGTTCTTCTTAGTTGAGTGAAAAGAGTGGCGTTGGTGAGCGTGTAGTTCTCCACGGCCACGGCCTAGTCCATGTGCTTGACAGAGGGGAAGGAGGAATGCGCGTAGGCTTGGAGCAGCTCGACTCGCTTGTCGCAGTTGTCACGACTCTTGATGCTGGTGGGGATGGGGAGTGGAAGAGTTGCCAAGGCGAAGTGTGTGAGGATGGAATGAGAAGGGAAGTGGTGAAGGGGAGTGAAGTGAGTCAGTCAGCGCAGAGGCAGTCGGCGACTGTGAAGGATAGGAGCTTGCACATCAGATCACATGACACTCCACCATGCCTCAGAAGTGGAAAGCATCAACGTGGTGGTACAATTGCACCAGCCATCAACCCAAACGCCGAGCCTGCCACATCAGCACCCAGACGACCACGTGACATGCCATGCCACTATGCAATGTCATGTACCAAAGGCTGTTGCCATGTTACGTACCGATGGCCAATGCCAGGCACGCGGATGCCCTTCCTCTTCATTCCCTCCACGAAGTCATACGGACTCAGCCCCTGCACATACGGACGCGGATGGCCAATGCCATGGCATTGCGGGTCGTGCAGGGTTATGCACGCATGGTAGAGAAAATGGTCGAGAACACGCCATGTTATACACAGCAGGAAGAGAGGGAGCATGGCCCATGCAGCGACGCAGGTGAACAATGAGTCCAAACAAAAGGCAATGCTGGGGAGGGCAGGCAGGGAGATGAGGACGCCTTCTTTGCATGAGAGTGACGGGAGAGGACAATGAGCTGCCACGCAGGCAGCCACTCACCCGCTCCACAGCGTCCTTGAAGTAACGCGCAGCATCATCAATGGCGCCTCCAAAGCGCGGGCCGATGGTGAGCAGCCCTGCGAGGAGCAGGAGGCGAGGACCAATGGCGGAGAAAACAAGATCACATGATGAAGTAGGGAGGGGATTCACACGCAAGAGCAGGCTGCAGGGCCAGCAGTGAGGTCATGAGGAGTGACAAGCATGGAAGAGGATCAGACGGCCGCAGCACTGTTGCAACACCAAGTGGTGGTACGGTTGGCAAAAAGGGAACGGAGGAGGACGCACCAGAGACGAGGCAGGAGATGAGGTCCTTGCCGGCTCGCGAGGTTACGATGGAGTTGTGCGCGCCCGACACACATGGACCGTGATCCGCACACAGCACCACACACATCTGCAATGGGGGGAGGGATGGCAAGGGAGGGGAGGGTAAGGGCAATCATTGTTTGTCACACACAGGGACCGTGGTCCGCACACAGCACAGCACCACACACATCTGCACGCAGTCATGGCGTATGAGAAAGAATGGGATGTTAACAAGGGGCATGGCGATGATTGGTGGGGGGGAGATGGCAGTGATGGCGGGAAGGAAGATGTTATTGATGGGAGATATTCACAGCAAGAAATTTCAAAGGCAGCTGATAGTGTATGTAAAGCAGTGGTCTAATGAGGGTCTGACCGACACTCAACACATGACGGGCAACGATGTATGTATGTACTACTACCATGAGAGTTTGAGAGGGTCTGGCCGCCACAGCACAAGGGAGAGGCCGAGCTGTTATACCCACACAAGTGACAAGACTTGATCACTTCGAAGAGTGATCATGCAGGGGGGGGGGGGATGTAGCTGCAACTATTGATTGGGCGAGGGAGAAAAGGAGAGCACCTCAATGAACTTGGTGCAGTAGGCGGGGAGGGAGCGCTTGAACCAGAGCAGGCACATGACGTCGCCCACCCCAAAGCCCTTCTCCACTATGGTCGAGATGGGCACCCCTGCGTATGTGGGCTCCTCGCCTGCATGGTGATGGGGGATGGGAAGGCGGATAGGCACACACAGGCACACAGACAGGAGATCACTGAGACGAGTATGTGATCCAGTTTAGACATGTGTGAAAACCATATAGATATGTTCGCAAGAGCATAGAGAGGTACCGGTATGAGGTTGGAATCGTGCGTTGTGACTGGTGCAGTGACAGGGGCGCAGATGAGCATAGATTGACACAGAGTTATTTGCAGACGTGACGCGACATTCACATGAGGGCCGCTCGCATCAGCTGCCACTGCTCACATCAGATGCCACTGCTCACATCAGAATTATTTGCAGAGCATCTCCATACGCCACAGCTCACGCCACCTTGACTCACCATTGTCATAACAGATGGTGTGGTGGAGACGATGTGCATGAGACGACTTTTGAGGCGCCTCAGAAAGAATCCTCACTCACCTCTGTCGTCACAGATGGTGGAGACGATGTGGGTGGGGGCGCGCACTTTGCCCGCCTTGATGGCCGCTGTGAGGTCCTCCGGCACTGTGGGCGGCTGCTTCTCCGCCACTGGCTGGATGGCACCCTCTGCCACCTGGGGCCACCAACAAGGCGTCATGGGGAAGGAGGGGAGGGGGGAGCGAGGGAGATGAGGGGGAGAGCTGGCTGTGATCAAAGGTCCTCCGGCACTGTGGGCGGCTGCTTCTCCGCCACTGGCTGGATGGCGCCCTCTACCACCTGGTGGCACAATGAAATGGGGGTTTGGGTTGAGAAGGAGGGGGGAGTGAGAGAGATGAGGTGAAAAAGGGTTGTGTTGTGATAATAGTCCCTCAGGTAATGTGGGCGGCTGCTTCTCCTCCACTGGCTGGATGGCGCCCTGTGCTACCTGGGAATCAACAGCAACGAGTGATGGAGGAGGGTGAGAGAGTTGAGGGCGAAACGAAACTGGAGAATGAGGAGGTGTGGAAAGGCTTCAGGGCACTGTGGCGGCTGTCTGCCAGTGGGCCCCCTGGAATGTGGGGACTACCAGAACTGACAGCAAGTGATGACCCGTGGGTGGGTTGAGAGTTGGTTCCACATAGTGACATGACATCCATTTGATACATGAGAGAAAGCCGAGCTTGTGACGGATAGTTCATCTGGCATTGAGGGCAGCGGTATTTTGTATGATTGTAAGGTTGTGTGTGCGAGACACTCACGAGCTTCTCATACGTGGCGCGGATGACAGTCTCCAGGTCCTCAAACGACGTCGGCACGATGGCGCCCGCTGCCTTCAGTGCCGCGTTCTTTGCCTGTGCTGACTCGCTCTCCCCTCCGCTCTTGGCGCCCTGGGGAAGCAATCGTGGAAAAGGATAAAGGTTTCTGGCTGTAAACATCGTGACGCGCGTTTCTTAGCACAGTGCCCCCCACTGACGTGGGCGCCGCAACTCATAGCTCTCACCTCCAACCAAGGGAGAACCGGGGAAGGATGTCAGCATGCAGGAGGGAGAACAAAGTTTGAGGAAACAAACGTGATGAGGTGCTGTAACCAACGCGAAGCGAGGCGTCAGCCAATCGAGCCAGGATGGAAAACCAGCTGCCAAAGCTCAGTGGCTTACAGCGTGGCCGAACTGCACTTCGGACTTGAAGAGAATGGCGCAGGTGCCACTGACCCACGCCACCACGGGCTTGTTCACGCGCCCCTCCTTCAGCGCCTCCACCAGTGAGTACTCGTCCGCCCCGCCCAGCTCGCCCAACACCACTATCATTCGGATCTGACCATGCACAGAAAGGAGTGGGAAGAGGGGAGGGGGTTTAGGGGATGGAGGAGGGGGAGAGGGTGAGACACAGAGGAGGGGGATGGTGTGTGGAGTCAGGCGTTGCATGGATATGCGAGGAGAGAAGGAAAGATAGACGTTTGGATTGGAGTGGCGAAGGCGACAAACAAGAGCACACATGCCAAAAGAGTTGGCAGCGAACGAGCATGTAGAAGCAATCACGCAACCCCATGGCTCTTCTGGCTGGCCCAAACGAACTTGAGGAGAATGGTGAAACACACGCAAACACGTGAACCTCGTGCGGACCACAACTCTCATACCTGCGGAATGTTGTTAAATCTCAAGACGTGGTCTGAGAGCGTGGAGCCAGGGAAGCCATCACCGCCAATGGCGATACCTGCATGGGCGAGGAAGAGAGAGAGCAGTGCAGCAAGTGGGCATCACCATTGGTCTTGACACGTCTGAACACTCTGCTGGGCAGTCACCACTATTCATGAACAACCGGGACAAGAGGGAAACGCTAGCTGCTGAACGAACATTGCCAGTGATTGCCTTGAGAAAGGACTGGAAAGTGGTTGACATAGCCTGGGTCAAGACTGACAGGCAATCTTGAATGACTACTAGATTATCCACCCCTTCCTTCCTCACCTTCGTAGAGCCCATCTGTAGTGCGCGCCAGCACGTTGTACATCTCGTTCGACATGCCTCCCTGCAACCACACCACAGCACGGCACCCCGGGTTACAACACAGGCCCGGAGGAAGGGGCAGAAATGAGAAAAGAAACGCAACAAGGCAGAATGAGGAGAGTGACAGGCAGATCCACGGAACCAGAGGGGCCTCACATGCACTGCAATGCAGCTGCAAGGTCAGTGCCTCACCGACTTGGAGACGAAGCCGACGGAGCCAGGGCGGTAGAGCTTGCAGCTGATGATGTTGTCCAGCGTGCCCGCTGTGTCGCCAATCTTGAACGCTCCTGCCTGGATGCCACCCACCGTTGCCGGGCCAATAATCACCTGTTGCCCAAGCGTCACAACACAGCGCATGTCCGTCAGCCGCGCTACAGTAGTTACATGAGAAGAGGAAGTCAGAAGCAATGGGGCTTGAAGATCGGCTGGTGAAACGGGTGTGAGATGCGGCATGCTGGGATGTGGAAGGATGGCCAGGTGGTGTTGCTGCCAGCGCGGGTACCTTGTTGTTGGCGCGCGCGTAGGCGATGAGCGTCTTGGTGTCGGCCTCCGGCACGCCCTCTGCGATGATGGCCACCACTCGGATGGTGGGCTGCTTCAACGCCTCGAACGATGACTCGAACGCACTGTCGCGAGGGGTGGGGTGGGTCAAGCGCACGGGAGGTAAAGTCAAAGAATGGTTCCAGTACCCAGTTACGCATAATTATGCGCGGCAGTGCGTTGTTGAGCAGTGAGTTGTGTGTAAAGTGCGCGGTGCTTAGTGGTAAGACGATCATCCATTCAACAAAGCCACACCTTCGGAACGAGGCGAAGTTGACGAAGACGTCAGCCGTTGGATGCGCCTTGCAGGCCGCCGTGATGCTGTTTCGAGAACAAATACAAGGACGGAACAAGGTATGAGGATGCTTGCATAACCGTCGTGTTTTGAGTCGGATTTGAGGTAGTTCGGCATGGCGTGCATACAGACGAACGATGCTGATAGCGAGGCAGTTGCGGATTAAAAATTCTATTCGCAAAAAGGTACTTACCTGGGGTGGACCGGAAGCGCGATCTCCTCTTGACCGAAAAAGAGCTTGTGAAAGCCATCAGATCCCGGTGTGATGATGCCGGCAACAGAGGGTAGATTTCGACCTGGGAAAGAGCGGAAGAGATACCGAACGGTCGCATGAGCTTTGGAAAGGATATGGACCCGTAAATCTAGTAGTCTGGCCAGCAGACTCTTGAGTTTGAGCTGTCCTCCCTAGCTAGAGCACGGGCCGAGAAGGCGTTACGGAGCGTGAAACGCAATCTAAAAAAGGCCAACGAAGCTCAAAGCACGGAATCCAGCTCTGACGCTACGTGTTCGTCGCACCGCATAAGAAGTCAAAATCCAGCATCCGTTGAACGGGATTCTGCTTGTAGTTGTAAAACAGAGCTTGGGTGTTCTTCGAAAACAGTTGACCCGTCGCCATTTTGGCTCCACGCTACTATGCAAGACCAGAGGAGATTGATTAAACTTCGCTTTCTGGTCACTCTATTCGGAAGAGAAATGCGATCGATGTGCCTGAATTTGAGAGAGCAAGGCCTGCCTGATTGATGTGGACTTGCTCATAAAATCTCAAATTGACGGAACGGAGATCCCAAGGCAAGCAACACGGAGCACAGCCTCGAAATTGGTTTGGTGGGTGTGCGCCTGCCTGCCTGTAACCGCGGCAGGCGCGAGCCTTGGAGATGCAAGGCAAGTGATGTCTGCTGTGGTGCGCGTGGGCCTCTGATCTGAGTCAGCCGTGCCTGAGAGGGTGGGACCACACGGGGAAATGTCCACTGGTAAAGCCCCCCCACACTCGGCCATGTGGATCTGGATGCTGACAGCCTCGAGAAAATCGGCGGACTTCGGGTTGGTGGGTCATCGGATTTCTCAATGTAGGCCCAACACACCAATAGATGTGTGTACATGAAAAAAATCTGCTAACCTGTATGAGCCAATCACCACTTTAGTTGCCGGGAAAAATACGAATGCACTGGTGGAAGTTTTAGGGTTTGAGATGGAAGGAAGTACCATAAATTATAACAAGACTCTACGTTTACGTCGGAAGGGTTGCGCAGAGTTGTATCCCTTGTATTAGAAACATTATGTTAGAAACATTAAGATAGAGTATATACATTATAATTATACTTTGCTTATAGAAGCAATTCATTAAGTTCTTCATTTTTACTTAAAACAGGTCAGGCTCGATAGTTCCCTATTATGAAGTGAAATGTTCTATAGATGTTGCTGCCCTCAAAGTTGTTAATTAATTGTGGAACAACGTGGACATGTATGCTCCTTTTGTGATTTTTATAAACATGAATTGTTTTCACCAACAACTTAACTCCATTGTTCTTTCAGGTTATTATAGCGGGTTGGGCGTTTGGCATCGCTGAATGCCCTCCTCCTGTGCTGGCATAAGGGCGTGCTACATTTTTTGAAGTCGCTGAAAGTCCGGACGGCTGTCCGGACACGTGCGAAAATTGCGACGTCGTACGGTCGCGTTGCGACCAATTCAATGTCGTAAGGAGGCAATACGAAGAATGCGACGTCGTTTAGACCCTGACGAACTCAATGCCGAGATTTAACGAGTTCAGTAACCACACAATCGTCCGGACGGCTGGCCGTCAGGACGAAAAAATGAAAAATGTAACACGCCATAAATTTTCTCGCTCTGCTGGCAGAAATTTTCTCGTTCTGCGCTGGCATCCGTCTCTTTCACAGCTCGAATTCGGCGCTGTCTTTTCTTGGTTCTTGTTCTTGAATCTTCTCGACAAGAACCTGCTCTACTCCTACTCCTTTTCCTCCCCTCCCCCCACCCCTTCTCGCCAGTTCTTCTCCCACCTAGCTGTCGCTCTCGCTCCATCCAGCCGTATCCTCTCCCTCACTACCCGCTGACACCTCTCCAACCCACCTCACAATCACTCCGTCCCATCCACCCCGCCATCTCCGCTCCCTTACCTCCCCGCCGTCGCCTCCCTCCTCCTCGCCGTCGCCTATCCTCCTCCCCACCGTCGCATCTCCCCCCGCCGTCGCCTCTGCCTCCTCCCCGCCGTCGCCTCCCTCCTCCCCGCCGTCGCCTCTCCTCCTCCCCGCCGTCGCCTCTCCTCCTCCCCGCCGTTGCATCTCCTCCTTCCCCGCCGTCGCCTCTCCTCCTCCCCGCCGTCGCCTTTCCCTCCTCCCCACGGTCGCCTCTCCCTCCTCCCCGCCGTCGCCTCTCGCTCCTCCCCGCGGTCGCCTCTCCCCACTCCCCGCCGTCGCCTCTCCTTCCCTCTCCGCCGTCTCGTCCGGCGACAGGTGCACGAGCGCAAGCGCGAGTTGGTGCGCGAGCGCGGGTTGTTTTCTCAGGCACCATGGTTATCAGGTGCGTTCCTGGTCCTTCCGTCCTCCCTTCCCCCTTCTGAAATTTCCGTCCTGTTTAATTTTGTTTTGTTTTGATTTTTTTTTTCTCTCCAATGTGTCGATTGATCTCCACTTGCATTGCACTTTCATTTGAAGAAGAAAGAGATGGAGCGCGAGGGAGAGTGTGTGCGCACATGAGAGCGTGTGAGAGAGCGCGTGAGAGAGCGCGTGAGAGAGCGCGTGAGAGAGCGCGTGAGGGAGCGCATGAGAGAGCGCGTGAGGGTGCGCGTGAGAGAGCGCGTGAGAGAGCCCGTGAGAGAGCCCGTGAGAGAGCGCGTGAGAGAGCGCGTGAGAGAGCGCGTGAGAGAACGCGTGAGCGAGCGCAAGAGAGCGCGTGAGAGAGCGCAAGAGAGCGCGTGCGTGAGAGCGCGTGAGAGAGCACATGAGAGAGTGCGTGAGAGAGTGCGTGAGAGAGCGCGTGAGAGAGCGCGTGAGAGAGCGCGTGAGAGAGCGTGTGAGGGAGCGCGTGAGGGAGCGCGTGAGAGAGAGAACGCGGTGAGAATGCGAGAGAGAGAGTGCGTGAGAGTGTGCCTGAGAGTGCGCCTTGAGAGAGCGCGTGAGAGAGTGCGTGAGAGAGCACGAGAGGGCGCATGAGAGCGCGTGAGAGAGCGCATGAGAGAGCACATGAGAGAGTGCGTGAAAGTGCGCGTGAGAGTGAGCATGAGAGAGCGCGTGAGGGAGCGCATGTGAGTGCGCGTGAGAGCGCGAGAGAGAGAATGCGTGTGATAGTCCGCGAGAGAGAGAGAATGTGGTGAGAGTGCGCGAGAGAGAGAATGTGGTGAGAGTGCGCGAGAGAGAGCGCGAGAGGGAGTGCGTGAGAGTGTGCCTGAGAGTGCGCGAGGGAGCGCGTGAGGGAGCGTGAGAGAGCGCATGAGAGTGTGCATGAGAGAGCGGGTGAGAGAACGCGTGTGAGAGCGCGTGAGAGAGCGCGTGTGAGAGCGTGTGAGAGAGCGTGTGAGGGAGCGTGTGAGGGTGCGCGTGAGAGAGCGTTTGAGAGAGAGAATGTGCGTGAGAGTGCGCGAGAGAAAGGACGTAAGAGAGAGAATGCGCGTGAGAGAGCGTTTGAGAGAGAGAATGTGCGTGAGAGTGCGCGAGAGAAAGGACGTAAGAGAGAGAATGCGCGTGTGCGTGCGGGAAAAAGAGCGCGAAAGAGAGCGCCTGAGAGTGCCCCTAAGAGTGCGCCTTGATAGAGCGCGTGAGAGAGCGCGTGAGAGAGCGCATGAGAGAGCGCGTGAGAGAGCGCGTGAGAGAGCGCGTGAGAGAGCGCGTGAGAGAGCGCGTGAGAGAGCGCAAGAGAGCGCGTGAGAGCGCAAGAGAGCACGTGCGTGAGAGCGCGTGAGAGAGCACATGAGAGAGTGCGTGAAAGTGCGCGTGAGAGTGAGCATGAGAGAGCGCGTGAGGGAGTGCGTGTGAGTGCGCGTGAGAGCGCGAGAGAGAGAATGCGTGTGATAGTCCGCGAGAGAGAGAATGTGGTGAGAGTGCGCGAGAGAGAGCGCGAGAGGGAGTGCGTGAGAGTGTGCCTGAGAGTGCGCGAGGGAGCGCGTGAGGGAGCGTGAGAGAGCGCGTGAGAGTGCGCATGAGAGAGCGGGTGAGAGAGCGCGTGTGAGAGCGCGTGAGAGAGCGTGTGAGGGAGCGTGTGAGGGTGCGCGTGAGAGAGCGTTTGAGAGAGAGAATGTGCGTGAGAGTGCGCGAGAGAAAGGACGTAAGAGAGAGAATGCGCATGAGCGTGCGGGAAAAAGAGCGCGAAAGAGAGCGCCTGAGAGTGCCCCTAAGAGTGCGCCTTGATAGAGCGCGTGAGAGAGCGCGTGACAGAGCGCGTGAGAGAGCGCGTGAGAGAGCGCGGGAGAGAGCGCAAGAGAGCGCGTGAGAGCGCAAGAGAGCACGTGCGTGAGAGCGCGTGAGAGAGCACATGAGAGAGTGCGTGAAAGTGCGCGCGAGAGTCAGCATGAGAGAGCGCGTGAGGGAGCGTGTGTGAGTGCGCGTGAGAGCGCGAGAGAGAGAATGCGTGTGATAGTCCGCGAGAGAGAGAATGTGGTGAGAGTGCGCGAGAGAGAGCGCGAGAGGGAGTGCGTGAGAGTGTGCCTGAGAGTGCGCGAGGGAGCGCGTGAGGGAGCGTGAGAGAGCGCGTGAGAGTGCGCATGAGAGAGCGGGTGAGAGAACGCGTGTGAGAGCGCGTGAGAGAGCGCGTGTGAGTGCGTGTGAGAGAGCGTGTGAGGGAGCGTGTGAGGGTGCGCGTGAGAGAGCGTTTGAGAGAGAATGTGCGTGAGAGTGTGCGAGAGAAAGGACGTAAGAGAGAGAATGCGCGTGAGAGAGCGATTGAGAGAGAGAATGTGCGTGAGAGTGCGCGAGAGAAGGACGTAAGAGAGAGAATGCGCGTGAGCGTGCGGGAAAAAGAGCGCGAAAGAGAGCGCCTGAGAGTGCCCCTAAGAGTGCGCCTTGGTAGAGCGCGTGAGAGAGCGCGTGAGAGAGCGCGTGCGAGTGCGCGTGAGAGAGAGAACGTGGTGAGAATGCGCGAGAGAGGGCGCGAGAGAGAGTGCGTGAGAGTGTGCCTGAGAGTGTGCCTTGAGAGAGCGCGTGAGAGAGTGCGTGAGAGAGCGCGAGAGGGCGCATGAGAGCGCATGAGAGAGCGCGTGAGAGAGCACCGGAGAGAGTGCGTGAAAGTGCGCGTGAGAGTGAGCATGAGAGAGCGCGTGAGGGAGCACGTATGAGTGCGCGTGAGAGCGCGAGAGGGAGAATGCGTGTGATAGTCCGCGAGAGAGAGAGAATGTGGTGAGAGTGCGCGAGAGAGAGAATGTGGTGAGAGTGCGCGAGAGAGAGCGCGAGAGGGAGTGCGTGCGAGTGTTCCTGAGAGTGCGCGAGGGAGCGCGTGAGGGAGCGTGAGAGAGCGCGTGAGAGTGCGCATGAGAGAGCGGGTGAGAGAATGCGTGTGAGCGCGTGAGAGAGCGCGTGTGAGAGCGCGTGAGAGAGCGTGTGAGGGAGCGTGTGAGGGTGCGCGTGAGAGGGCTTTTGAGAGAGAGAATGTGCGTGAGAGTGCGCGAGGGAAAGGACGTAAGAGAGAGAATGCGCATGAGCGTGCGGGAAAAAGAGCGCGAAAGAGAGCGCCTGAGAGTGCCCCTAAGAGTGCGCCTTGATAGAGCGCGTGAGAGAGCGCGTGAGAGAGCGCGTGAGAGTGCGCGTGAGAGAGTGCATGAGAGAGCACGTGTGTTGCTGTATCCTATTTTTGCTTTCTTGTACACAGTGTAGGAACATGCACTGATTTGTGTGCAAGGTGTGTTTTTCTTCCTTGTGCAGGGCGTGTGTGTGTTGACTTCCCTGTTTTAACTTTGTGCAGGGCGTGTGTGTGTTGACTTCCCTGTTTTTGCGGGGCGTGTGTGTGTTGACTGAACTGATTTTGCTTTGTGCAGGGCGCGTGCGTGAGCTGAGAAGGGAGATGAGGGAGTGGGATGGAGATGAGGGAAGGAGGGAGGGAGGGTTGTAGGGAGGGTAAGGTGGGATAGGTTAGGAATTATTTTTTCTGAATTTTATTTATGACGGTTGTGTGTTTATTACGGTATCTGTATCTCTCTGTGCTTGTTTGAGTGTGTGTGCATGTCTGTTCGTTGTGTTTGTTTCACTGTGGGGTTGCTCTTCGATCCGTTCATAACCGTTACGTGGTGTTGTACATTTTTTACGTGCGTTTGCATTCGTGTTTGTGGGATGTGTGTTTCAAAGTGTGGTGTTATTGTGTGTTATGTGTCAGAACATTATAGCTTATGCTGTTGTGTAGGCTATAGTGGGGTATCCCATAGGGGGTACAACCAATTAGGGTTTCATATTTGTACTCACTTCATTTCATAGTTCATCCATTCTTGTTCAAATCTTCTCATGGTATCGAGCAGGTTCCCCCTTGGGAACTGTGCTTAGGGCCCACCACATCGATTTTTTTTTCCTGCCCGAAGCGCGCTCAGCCCTAGTCGCGCTTCGGGCCCTCACTTCGTCGAGCCGCCCTAGCGGCCCTGCACTGCGGCCCCGCCACCCGTCTCCGCGGCCCCGCCGCCCGTCTTCGCGGCCCCGCCGCCTCTCTCCTAGCGGCCCCGCCGCCCTACCTAGCGGCCCCACCGCCCTACCTCGCGGCCTCGCCGCCCCATTGCGCGGCCCCGCCGCCCTACCTAGTGGCCCCGCCGCCCCATCGCGGCCCCGCCGCCCCATCGCGCGGCCCCGCCGCCCTATCTAGCGGCCCCGCCGCCCTACCTAGCGGCCCCGCCGCCCCATCGCGCGGCCCCGCCGCCCCATCGCGCGGCCCCGCCGCCCCATCGCGCGGCCCCGCCGCCCTTCCTCGCGGCCCCGCCACCCCATCGCGCGGCCCCGCCGCCCCATCGCGCGGCCCCGCCGCCCCATCGCGCGGCCCCGCCGCCCCATCGCGCGGCCCCGCCGCCCTACCTAGCGGCCCCGCCGCCCTTCCTCGCGGCCCCGCCACCTTCCCTGCGGCCCCGCCCTTACCTGCGGCCCCGCCGCCCTCTGCTGCGGCCCCGCCACCTTACCAGCGGCCCCGCCGCCCTTACCTGCGGCCCCGTGCCCTGCAGCAGCACAGCCGAGCCGCCCAGCAGCCGAGCCGCCGAGCCGCCCAGCAGCCGAGCCGCCCAGCAGCCGAGCCGCCGAGCCGCCCAGCAGCCGAGCTGCCCAGCAGCCGAGCCGCCCAGCAGCCGAGCCGCCCAGCGGCCGCGCCGCCCAGCAGCCGAGCCGCCCAGCAGCCGAGCCGCCCAGCAGCGGAGCCGCCGAGCCGCCGGGCCGCCCAGCAGCTGAGCCGCTGAGCCGCCGCGCCGCCCTCCTTCAGGGCCGCCCGACCTGCCCAGTCTGGTGAGCACAGCGCCTTTTCACTGCACTGTCCTCACCCCACTGTTTGCGCTGCTAGTCGTCTAGGGTCATGGCTACCCCTAGTGTTCTCGCCTTTGACGCTGAGGGTAGGGCCATTGACTTTGAGGTCTGGGTAGATGACCTGCAGCTGTTCTTACAGTGCGATAGGGCAGACGGCCTCTCTCTCTTTGACCTCACCTCTGGCACCTCCACTGCCCCTGCTGCTGATGCTGACGCCACTGTTCGCTCCCAGTGGGCCACGCGCGACGCTGCTGCACGTCTTGCTGTGCGTCGCCACCTCCCTACCTCCGAGCGTGCGCACTTTAGTCAGTACAAGAGTGCTCAGACCCTGTACGACGCTGTAGTTGCGCGCTACTCCTCCCCTGCCACTGCTGCACTGAGCCGTCTCATGCTACCGTACCTCTTTCCTGATCTTACTGCCTTTCCCACAGTCACTGACCTCATTACGCACCTCCGCACTAGTGACACTCGCTACCGCGCTGCACTCCCTCCTGACTTCTGCGCCAGGACCCCCCCCCCCATGTACATCACTCTTTACTACATAGTCACTCGCCTTCCTGACTCCCTTCGCGTAGTCAGGGACCACTTTCTCTCTGTCTGTCCCACCACTCTCACTGTTGACCTCCTCGAGAAGTCCCTCCTAGCGGCCGAGAAGAGCATAGTCGCTGTAGGGGCCTCTCGTGGTGACCCGCGCACCCCCATCTTTGAGGGGTGTTCCCCCTCCCCCCTTCTGCCCTCTGTTGCCTCTGCTGCTGCGGCCGACCTCCTTGTTCTTGAGTCGGTCGGTGCGGCGTCTGCCCCTAGCGGGAGACGCCGCTCTGGCAAGGGCAAGGGGGGCAAGGGCGCTGGAGGAGCGAGCGGGGGCGGTGGAGGTGGAGGTGGCGGCAGTTGGGGGAGTGGGGGTGGCGGTGGGAGTGGAGGTGGGGGTGGAGGGGTCGGTGGCGGCAGTGGAGGTGGAGGTGGCGGCGGCGGTGGCGGTGGGAGCGGAGGTGGCGGAGGTGGCGGAGGTGGAGGCGGCGGCGGAGGCGGAGGCGGAGGCGGCGGCAGTAGCGGAGGCGGCGGAGGCGTCGGAGGCGGCGGGGGTGGCGGTGGTGCTGGTCGCGGGTCTTCGCAGAGGAGTGGCTCCGGTGGTGGCTCGCGCCAGCAGCAGCAGCGTGGTCGTGACACCCTGTCCCCTCAGCAGCTTCGTGAGTGGTACACTGCGCGTCAGCGGGGTGGGGGTTTTGGTCCGTGCTCCTACGTTTTGCGCACTGGCGACCGTGCGGGTGAGCAGTGTGGGGGTGCCCACCCCACCCAGCGCTGCTTTGGCCGCCTGACGGACGCGTGGCGTCACCAGTTCCCGGAGGCCTCCGAGATCCCTCGCTGGGGCGAGCTGTCTAGGGCGGGTGTTGCCATCTATGATCTTGACTTTGATGCTATTCTCTCTGCCATGTATGCTGTGTCTATTAGTGATGAGGGTGACTGTTACCGGTGTTTCCCGCCCGATCCGGGCATTGAGACTGCTGCTCTAGGTCCTGGTGAGGCTGCTGCCCTAGGTGCTTGCGACGCTGCTGCTCTAGGTGCTCGTGTGTCTGCGTCCTCAGGTACTGGTGAGTCTGCGCTCTCAGGTACTGCGTCGGCTTCGGCCTCCCTCACCTTCACCCTTGACTCTGGGGCGTCTCGCTCCTTCTTTCGGGACCGCACCACACTCACACCGCTGAGTCGACCGGTTGCAGTGTCTCTGGCTGACCCCTCTGGGGGTCCTGTCCTGTCTCGCTTCTCCACAGTCCTCCCGTGTCCGGCGGCTCCCTCTGGCACCCTGTCTGGTCTCTACCTCCCCTCGTTCTCTACGAACCTGGTGAGTGGTGCTGACCTACAGGATGCGGGGGTCCACCAGTTCACTCCTGCACGTCAGAGAGTGACCCACTGTACAGAGGCTGGCACAGGCCGACACCTGGCTACGTTCACCCGTCAGCCGGGGTCGAGCCTGTACACTCTGACCACTGCGTCTCCTCCAGTTGCTGAGTCTGGTAGGGTAGTTACGTCGGGTCAGGTGTTTGCTGCGGCGTCCAGGTCTGGTCCTGAGTCTGCCCCCTGTTCGTGTCGTCTCCTGT